TGGCGGCGCTTTACACCACTGCATTCAACGCTTTGCATTGTGCTTGGTGATATAAGGCTTGGATGCAGCTGCTCGGCCATGGAAACCCATTCCATGAAGCTCTCTACGCTGTTCTTGAGCTAATCTGAAGGCCACATGAAGTTTGGAGGTCTGTAGCGATTGACTCTGCAGAAAGTTGGTGACCTCTGTGCATTATGTGCCTCAGCATCCGCTGACCCTGCTCTGTCATTTTACCTGGCCGACCACTTCGTGGCTGAGTTGCTGTCGTTCCCAATCGCTTCCACTTTGTTATAACACCACTGACAGTTGACTGTGGAATATTTAGTAGTGAGGAAATTTCACGACTGGACTTGTTGCACAGGTGTCATCCAATCACGGTACCATGCTGGAACTCACTGAGCTCCTGAGAGCGACCCATTCTTTCACTAATGTTTGTAGAAGTAGTCTGCAGGCCTAGGTGCTTGGTTTTATACACCTGTGGCCATGGAAGTGATTGGAACACCTGAATTCAGTGATTTGGATGGGTGAGTGAATACTTTTGGCAATATAGTGTATATGCCACATTTAGTATTTTATGTTTTCCAGTGTGTTAAACTGTGCAGAGAACGGTCATATTTAAGTGTGTTCTCTGTAGAGGATGTGTTCACTCTTATTCACTTAGGTTGACCGTGGTGTCCAAACTTTTGCACACAGCTGTATATTTAGGTTTTGAAACATAAATGAAATGTCCAAAACAAGAAACACGTCACTGTTCACTGTTCACATGTGCTGTGAGTGCAGGATTAACCCCTTTAACTGCAGGCCTATCATTCAGTTTAATCACTGTAAGGCTGATTATTCAGTGACTACTGTAAATCATTCAGTACTTTGTGTTCAATACTAAATACGTTGTGGATGACACTTTATTTGGAGTGGTCCTTTGTAGATGATTAATAAACAACACATTAACAGTAACACATCAGCAACATATCAGTGAAGTAGCAGTGGTGAAGCCTCTGAATACACTGAAGTAAATATCTTGTAGATGTTTTGTTGATACATTACTTACATTAAGTAGATGTGCTGTTAATATGTTATTTCCATTATTCAAAACCTCACCTTACCAACCTTACCCAACACCTAACCCTCACCTGGCCCTAATCCTAACCCTAACCTTAACCTCAACTCAAAACCTGATCCTAACCCTCACATGTTTTTGACATGTTACTGAGAGTCCATGTTTGTTTCATCTAAAAGGACCCTCAAAATAAAGTGTCAACAAGTTAAGTAGTTATGAGAGGGAGAAACTAAATTGATTACAATTTGAATTTTTGGGACTATATGCACTTTTAGATGAACATCTTAAGTGAAGCACTATGTATATAACTTCATTTATAGTTATATACATAGTACTGTGTATATAACTGTGTATATAGTAATACACAGTGCTGTGCAAAAGTCCTAGAAATTGTGTATCTCGGCAGTTTACATCAAAAGAATAAATAAAAATATACATAAGCGCAGTAAAAAGTAGCAAGAATGTCTTATTTAAAAGAAAAAATATCTACTTTGAAGAACAAAGTTTGGTTCCACATTTCTCCTGGACACCAACACCACCACCTCCCTCACTCGTACACCTGCTTTACTGAGCCAAATCAGGTACTGGATGATAATTACATATAACAGGCTGCCTCAAGGAGAGGTTTGGAGGTGGTTATAGACTTAATAACCAGACAAACAGCCTTTTTATTCTAATTTTCTCAGGTGCCTATAACGTTTGCACCGTACTTCATACATAAAGCAAGCTAATAAGAATCTCACTACAGTATGGTATCATTTTTGTATGCATGAACTGAAATGTAGGTCCGTATGCAGGTCATATAGTGTTTAAGGGTCAGTTAAATCCAGAGCCAACTAGAGATGGAGACGGTTTCTTCTTCAGCTAGCAGTAGCTTATTAGGATAGAACTATTTAACTGTGATAAAAGTGTTTGGCCAAAATTCTCTGCACTTCTTGCATTAGTAGCCCATATAAACCTTTTGGGCCATAAGTTGGAGTTTAAGATAGTTAGCGTAAGTAAGTAGAGGTGCCACGATACAACTTTCTCCTTTCCGATAACTTTTCCAATATAAACTTTGTTTATTGGCTGATACTGATCTGATATTTCTTGTTTAGGGACTGCTGAGCTATAAAATTAGCCATTTATAATTGACGCACTTTATTTAAGATGAGAAATAAACAGCTAACAACATCACATAAAACACAGTGTTAATTTGCACTATTTCAGGATAGATTTGGTACAGGATTCATTCCTTTTTACCTCCAACATCCCATCTAGCATTTTCTGTTCATATTGTCCTGATGCTGATAGCAAGCAATACTGATCATCTATAGACTAGTCTACTTACAAGCTACTGCTGTTTAGCCAATGTCAGCACTGAAGACTCCAACATTCCCTACATAACAAAACTGAATCCTGTCTATCTGTTTACATTTCAGACTTGAATTTAGCTCGGCAGACGTTTGCAGCAGATATTTTGGGACAGTTAGTGTCTGATTGCAGCGGATGCCTTAGGCTAGAGCTCTGGTCACCCACTGGGTCAGTCCAGCCGTGGGAATCACTCAGCCAGCTCATGAATACATCAACCCAAAAATGCTGCCATTAATGAATAAAAGGCCAGCTGGCTTTAGCCAAACATTCTGCCTGGTCCCCACTAGACGTCCTTCGCTAAAATATGAGCTTGTGAATGGCCTGTAAATGAGTTAGACCAATCAGAAGCAATCTAATATCTGAATATGCTGGTCTTACAAAAAAAAACAGGCCTAATTTTACACAACATAACCACAATTAGATACTTTGCCCAGCCATAAGAAGCAGCACAGATCACTCCGAGGACGAGGCCGAGTCTGCTGTTTTTATTTTTGCACAGAGACTAAAGATGGAGCTTTTCCCCACACTGTGAGAGACATTAGCTGTCAGCAAAAGAAGCAGCCCGGCAGAATATTAGTCTTGAGGAAGACGCGCTCCCACACACAATAAAAAGCAATGACGCAGGGCCAGCATTAGGCTGATGCGCGCGACGGGTGTTCGTGATGAAAAATGACTATTTAACATTTTGCCTTTTCTTTTGCAAGACTGATTCCATTAATGTCTAATCTAAGCGCGGCCCTCCGCGCTCTTCGGAAACACTTAAGATGCTCGCAAATGGCCTAATAAGGCACTGAAGGGGAGACGGGGAAAAATTAAGCCCATAAAACTGAGTAAATAGACCTGATCCTCCTCCCCCGACCCTGCCCACACATCAGTTTTAACCCCACTACAGCCCCCATGGTCCTTTGAGGTCGGTGCTGAGTGATGCATGATGGGGCATTGGTGCGGGGTAGAGGTTAATGAAGGATTACCACTCTTACAACAAGCTTTCTTTTCACATTTATCCACCCCTCCCCTGCTCTTTTGGTTTCTTTTTCTATGTTGGGTGTTTGCTTACACCCCACCCCCCAGCCCAGATGGGACTATAAACTGATCTGAAACTGATTCATTTGGAGAACAGGTGCTATTGATTTGCCTCTGCTCATAGTGAGGACCATAGTGACACTAGTGATGTCAGGGTGCCATAGTTTCTGGACCGTATGAGCCTCATTTGGTTTAAACTGATAGTTCGGCAAAAAAATAAAAAACAAAATTTACACACTTTTCCCTTCACCCCAAATGTGGTTTATGAGCCAAAACATGTTTGGTGTCTGAAGTTTGCTTCTATTGCTTTGAACTGAAAATACAAGGCTAATGTAGCTAATAAGTAATGGAAGCTTATGCCCCACACGTTAGCTTTGTGCAAACTGCATGGCTAATTCATCACCTACTGGCCTCAAACTGCAAACAGATGTTCAACAACCTCTGAAATAGACTCGCTTATGTGTTTTTAACATTGTATGATGGACTGATTTCTCAAAAAATGGACAAAAATATGTTACACAGCTAAAAACAGTAGCAGCTGCCCTGAAGCCTGAATTTGCTCTATAATTGTGTTTACTTTTTACACATAACAGTGTGTCATACAGGGCCATAAACCACATAAGAAGCCTGTATGAGAGTGTGTGATGATTTAGTCATGATACTGATTGTTGGGTTATACAAATGTATGCAAAGGTTTGTTGATTTTCTAAGTGACATTTTAATGCACAATTACTGTTTATCTGCTGAATTTAACATTTTGGGGGAAAAAAGCATAAAGTATGACGTGTGCAAAAGTTATGGCACTTGCTTTCTTTTTTCCAATACATTAAACTCAGCAAATACATGATTTTGCAAATAAATGTATGCACTTTGTTTATACATCTGTGCATATTGCATATTGCACTGCCGCTTGCTTATACACCCATTCATATTGCACAACTGTTAATATATGTTATTGCGCTATTGTTTACAGTGCATAATCACTCAGTTGCATGTTTCTGATTGATGATTCACTGGACGTGACATGCACCACTGCATTGTCACCTGCATATTTATGCGATTTTACTTACTTACTTGTACTGCACATTATATTTTTATGGTTGTTTTAGTATATTGTATTATATATCTTCTCTTATTCTATTTATGCATCTGTATAATGTCGTACAGCAATACTTTTGCTCTTATTTTGCTCTTTACTGTGTACTTTGTGCTGCTGTAATAGACAACTTTCCCTTTGGGAATAATGACATCATCGATCTATCTATCTATCTATGTATCTAGAAATTGTGCACTAAAATGTGCAGACATATGCAGATTGTTCTCTGTGGATGATGTGTTATTTTCACTTAGCAAATCAACAAAATATGTCATATGACCAGGTGTGTTTACACTTATGTATGTGACTATAAGCTTCCAGTAGTTGCTAGCTACATTAGCCTCATAGCTCCAGTGCAAAACTAAGTAAACTTCAGTAAAACTTAACTAAACTTTTATTTAATGAAGCTACTGTATGATGGGTGTTTGTTAAAGGGGTGTGCAGCACATAAAAGCCTGAGTGGACGCTCACCAGTTGCTCTTCCACGTGTGTCGGACGTGTGGGTCGTGGATGCCGTGCTTGTCGGCCTGCTCGTCCAGGAAATCAAACATGTACTTGATGGCGAGGGGGAGGGCACTTCCTCTGTGCGCTGTGCTGAAGATGGTCTCAAACAGGTCGTCTACAAACTTCTGCAGCGTGCCCTGTGGATCCAGACAGAGAAGAGAAAGAGTGTAAGAAGCACACTTTTTGTTTATACATTAGCTTATCGCTGTTGTTGGAACCTCGTATCTCCAAAATGGTAACTTTACAGGAGAAGGAAAAAACCTACTTTACTTTTAATGTAAGTCAGTGGAACCAGACTTTTTCCCAAGTCATTTTGGATAATTACTTGTGATCCAATCATCATGAAACACAATGTAAAGGACAACAGGCATTTTCAAATTGTGTCAAAAACTGAAAAATGTTTTGTTCAGACAGTGATATCCATGTATCTATCCATTTGTTGTTTTGGTGTCATAGCCTGAATTGTCCCTTGACTAACATATCACAAGTTCACTTGAACATTATCTGTTCATTTACAGCTCCTTGTTTGTGTATTTCTTCACTATAATAAGCCAAACCAGTTCTTTTTATCTGTAACACCACAACACCATATTTACTTCAAACACATCCAGACAGCTCAAAATGTCCCTCAGCCTGCAGCCTAAATGTCCGTGTGCGTTACCTGTCAGCGAGCGTGCAAAGCCCCACGGCCCTAAACCTCCCTCTTTGGTGGGGAAATGAGTATTTTGCGGTTCACTTTTAATACCATCTGGGACCAGGTGGCGAATCTGCCTAAGCCGCTTCTTGCGGCTGGATTAGAGCCCACACTGCACCATTGACCCTAATTTGATTTAATGTTGTCAACTTTAAGGAGACGCGAAGTAGAGAGAATCTAATCCACTTTAGATGAACTGATAGGAAGCGAGGCAACGAGAAAGAGGTAGAGAAAGAGAGAGAGAGTGAGAGACACAGGGACAAAGCAGAGAGAGATAGAGAGAGAGAGAGAGAGAGAGAGAGGGAATCAGAAAGGCCAGCTTGTGTCTAGTAGCAGCAAGCAGCAGCCTCTGCGCCAGAACAGGTGTGCGCAAGCGGAGAAAATAAAATCCTATTTTGTTTGAGCGGGGACCGCGAGTAAGCCAGGAGAGAGGAGGAAGAGGAAAAAAAAGAAAAAGAAAACCCTGTTAGCTGACAATCACGGCAGTAATTCTGCTGTGTCCCACATTCCTGACAGCTTATCTTTACCCTATGAAGATGAAAATACATATTTTCCGCTTGGCCCCCGTGACGCCACGGTGACAGCGGTAGCGGCAGGAGGCTGGAGATGGGGGGTTCTGACAGATGTCGTACCGTGTGACGGCTGACATCATCATTACTCGCCTGGGAACCAAAGCGCCCATTTACGGCCATTTTGGAGACGGGTGCACTTCAAAAACGCGCCCTATCAGGCTTGAGCAGGCGCACGCAGCCGCTTGATTGCCTGGTCAAAAGAGACAGCAGTGCTCTGTGAAGAAATTAGCAGGTCTAACTGCATATGAATCGAGGTAGAAAAGAGGAAAGAGCGACAGAGAGCACAGTAGGGGAAAGATTAAACAGGTCGGCAGTGAATGAAAGTGTAGAAACCTTCGGAGAGAGGGGTATTAACCCCCGCTGAGTCTTTATTTATCAAACAGAACGCCACTGACAGAGCTAATATGGGAAAACTCAAGCACTCCTGGAAGATTGTAGGCCTTTATTTGAAGGCTAAACAGGAAACAGTGATTTACAGCACTGTTGAGAGGCCTCAGAGTAAACGCACCAAACAAAAACAACCAAGGATGCACCGATATAGGACTCCTGGGCCGATAACTACAGCCGATAATTAACACCTTGATGTGGGCAGGGCTGCCACCCGTCCAGATCTTCCTGAATTCACTGCAAAAAATGGTGTCTTGTCAAGTGAAATGATCTTAAATCTAGTTGATTATATCTAATATTTCCCATTTTGAGGTGGTTGTGCTTTTATTATAATATTATTTACCTTATTTCTAGACGTTATTTACTTATTTTGGGCAATTTTATTAAGCACAATTATCTCATTATACTGGCAGATAATTTTGCTGGTTTCAAGCTCATTTCTTAAAACAAGCCAAATTATCTGCCAATATAGTGAAATAATTTTATTTAATAAAATGACTTAAAACAAGTAAAAAATGTCTAGAAATCAGGAAAATAACTTAATATTAAGCTTACAACAATCTCAACAGGAGAAATATGATTTATTGAATATATTTAAGGTACTTTTACTTGACAAGATACCATTTTTTGCAGTGTTCAATAAATAAGTAATAAATTTCATTCCTGGACACAAAATGTTCCAGAATCCAAGCATTTTTATGTTAGCATTTCTCATGAAGTTTAAACTGCTTCCTTTTATCCAATCTAACAATGAACTTGTCACGAATGTCACGGGCGAAGCGGAGGAAACGGACTCGATCTCCCAGAATCCTCTGGGAGATCACATGACTGTGACGCTTCCTACAAACCACAGTACACACACGGACTCCATCCCCCAGAATACACAGGGAGATCAGCTGACTGCTGATCTCCCCACATGCTCCTATCAGCGTTCTTGATCGCCTGAATACTGATGTGTTTCACCTGTGTATTGATCATGTGACTTCGTTAGTTAGCTTTAAAGACCGGTCTTTAGCGAGTGTTCTTTGCGAGGTATTGTTTCTTTAGTAAACTACTGAGCGTTATATCTATGATCAGGATTTTGTGTATGACCTGTAGCACCCGTTGTTTTCGACTCTGTTTTTGGATTTGCCTTTTTGGATTGTTTGCCCCGGATATTTGTTCTCTGTGTGTTGACCTTTTTGCCTGTTTTTTGACAACGATCTTGGACTCTGACTTCAACATTAAAGCCTACTTCTCGTTCTTAATCCGCAAGCGTCTGAATTCTGTGAAACCGTTAGAGAACTATATACCACCAAAAAGGGTTCTTCTACTGTTATGATATAAAGCTTGTAATAACAGAAGAACTCTTATTGGTGACTTTTCAAAAAGGTTCTGCACAGATCGCTCTACAGCACATTTTCCATCAATCTGAAGAACCCTTTCACCATGCTAAGAACCTTTTAATCATGCAAAGGGTATTTTGAGTGTTCATGGTTCTATTTAGAACCATTTTCTTTACTAAAGAACCATGATTTCTACATGTGTAGCTGTGGCCAATATCAGAAACAGGTAATTATTGTGATTTCCATTTTAAAACATTCGCACTACGTTTGAAGTGCAGTGAGAGGTTAATTGAACAATGATTAATTCTGCTCAGCCATGAAACAGAAATATTTATCCAGAGCCACTTAGAACTGTAGATGGACAACATGGTAGGCGTAACGTTAGGAATCCAGCCCAAGGACAGTCTTAGCAACAACAGTTCTATATGATACCAAAACACCTTTTGTTGCTACATAGAACCATTTTTAATAGGCTATTTTAAGAAATGTATCTATATATATATATATATATACATATATATATATATACGTTCTTCAACACAGAGAAGAACCAATTTACACTGCAAAGAACGATTTAAGCATTCAGATGGTCAGGCTTCTATATAGTGAAATAAAAAAAGGCATGTCTGTAATTCTGTGTTTATTTTTATTTAATATAATCAACATGTTTGTTGCATTTAAATTGTAGAAATACTCTTTATTTCATTGTTGAGTTTTGGAAACAAAGGGGTTCAATTCTTAAACTGGCCAACACAAAATTGTCCAATCAGGATTTTTTTTCTCTGTTGTATCTAGTTAGATACAGCCAAGCGAGCTCTCCCATTGGTTAGGACTTCTGAAGGCCTAACGCAGTCTCTCCAACCCTGGTCCTGGAGAGTAATCTTCGTCCAGAGCCTCGTTCTAACCACAGTTTGCCACACCTGCTCCAGCTAATCAACCTCTTCCCAAATTACTGATTGGCTGGATCAGACGTATTAGCATGAAGGGCGGGGGCAGCTGACTGGATATAGGTTGGAACTTAACTTTGTAGGAAGGTAGCTCTCCAGGACCAGGGTTGGAGACCACTGGACAACGTGTCAAATTAACCAGTTGACTCTAATAGCTGTTTCTGCTAGGACAGGAATTGAGCCTCTTCCATGCGTGGAGCTGGTGTTATGCACTGGGCTGACCATTTGAGTTGAAAGGAACAGAAAATCCCACCACTAGTGACTACGTGTGTCAGTGCACGAGCTAAAAATAGGGTGCTAATTTATCAGTGGTGAATATTTGCTGTAATTCCCATATTTGATATAATACCAATTGTAATAATTGGTGGATAACGTATCGGCGGGCGGTATCTTACATATTCTGCACCACTTAAAACAATCCATCTGAAATATGCAAACATCCCACTTGCTGGGCAGGGATTCATGTGGGCATCAGAGAATTCATTCTGCTCTTTTCAAGCTTCTGATTGGTGCTTATTGGCAACCAAACACACACCATGTAGTACAACAGACGACTGAGCTACACACACAAGCACATTCAGAGAGCTTTATTAAAAACGCTGCCAAGCGTCTTTCTCTCTCACGGCTTTGATTTCCACTACGATCAATCAGAAATATTAAAAAAAAGGAAAAAAAAAAATACAGAAAAGATGCTCCTCATCATCTAACCCCAAGCCTCACCAATCAGCAAATCAGCACCGTGAAAATGTTTTCTAATCACAAATTAAACCCTGCTACCTCTCATCCTGCCTCTCCATCACCTCAAAAAAAAAAAAGAAAAAAATCAGGTCATCTGACTTAATAGAAACCTGGGAATCACAATTAGGGATGGATTTCTCATTTACATGAAGCAGTGAGATTAAAGTCCCTGGAAAATGAACAGATATTCTAAGGGTCAAGGCATTTGAAAGAGAGCTTAGCGCATCTCATTTTATGGCTGATTCTCTGTTAGTTGGCCATTGTACAGGCGTTTAGGAACGCGCGAAGTGCAGGTTTTCGCGTCTTGCGCTCCGTCCCTGCTGACACAGGACGTGAATGCGCGAACGAGTGGAAAATGGCGAAGTGGTGGAAAGCAAACCGCAGTTTGGAACAAATGATGTGACGAGTAAACACTTCACATTGCTCTCCAGCCGAGACTGATTGAAGCTGTGTTTGACAAGGAACCGATCTGTTCCCACTCAAATGCAGAGCGCTCCAATTTACTCTGCTCCAGTGTGCCGTCACTTCATCAGCCTATGAGACTAAGAGTTTTCGATGCAATCATTAAAGGAGCACACCAGACAAAAAGGCTTACATTTGCGCAGAGCGAAAGTTAGGGGGCAGTAAACAGCATGTAAACAAAAACATGCTAACTGATGCAGGGGCTTTTATCACCTGTTGTTTATTTATAATAATATCCGTATTATTCAGATTTTATTTTAGAGGTTATCTTAGGTACTGTATATAATATGAACAATTGATTATTAAGCATGGAAGGTGCAGTTTAGTAAACTATCAATAGAATTTGAATATGTATGAGTGAAGTCGAGTGATGTAAAGGTTCTAATGGTAATGTAAAGGTTCTGTGATTGGTACTCATATTATTCCTACATTAACTACAGAAACTCATAAAAATTTGCAGCTTCTTAAGAGGGTTAAAAACAAATGAACAGAGAACTTTGCGCTTTCTCCTCACTCTGCATTCAAAACTGATGCCACAGTTTTGAATATGACGTGAGTCTGTGGCCCTGGTCAAAAGTGGAAATGTTAAGCACCACTGCAGAACAAAACAATCACTTTGAAACAACCTACCGACAAAATTCAGCCATTTATTTGTGAGGACAAATAAAATAAACGCAGTGCTCAACATGAAAGGTTCACCAGAGTGGTTGTCCATTCCTGACAACACAAGAGTGTGAAGTGCTCACTAAGGATAGCCTTTGTTATTGTTTATTTGAACTGAATTTGATTTTTTATTAATTTAATTTATTTTATCCTATGAAAAGAAAGTTTTTCTTCTGTGGACATTTTAAAGTTTTTCTTAAGATTTTTTTCTATAAAAAAATTTTTCAGACATTTTTTTGCTATGACAACAGCCCTCTGTGCTGCAGTCTGGAGTTTGATTCCCCACCTGGGCAAGCACACCACACTCCAATCATAGTCCTTGGGCTAGACTCCCAACACTACATTCACCTGCCTCTATAACATGATTCAAACTGTAAGGCACTCCAAGAGCGTCTGCCAGATGCCATGAATGGTTAACGTAATACCAACTAAAGGTTAAACTGCCAAGAACCATTTAGGAGCCTGCATGTATACATACTTACCTGCACATCTATGATATTATTATCCATCTATAGCCATATTAGTACTTCAGAAATAGACAATCACCTTCTGGTGTAGAGGAGGACTCAAAGCTCACCTTGGTGGCTAGCAGTCTGGTCAGGTAGATCTCGGAGACCATCTTACTCCCGCGGTCACCCTCTTTCTGGTCTCCGTGCTCGTGGTTCTTCACCAAGTGCCACACCTTGACCCCGCTCTCCAGGTCGGGCGTGATCATGGGCGTGCGAGAGCGAAGGCTGTCCGGGCTGCCCGTGTATTTGATCATATTTTCTGGACGAGAGGAAATAACACAAAGAAACTAATAAAAGGTCTGGTCACATCAGCAAGGGAGCACAAAACCAGACGCCACTCAGTCATTCTCTTGTACCCCAGGGCACTCACTCGAATCCAGACCTGTCTGCTGGACGCACCGGGCTTGAGATTGGATGTGAATGTTTTAGCATGTATGGCTGCTTAATTTTTCATCGCCTCTCCCACGGTCGCCGGCGGAGTGGAGATTGAACAGGTGTCGGCGGACATGAAATTTTCATGGCTCGGCCAACGTCAGGGCCGGCCGTGGCATTTAAAACCGCATGAAGCTCAAGGAATGTTTACGCAGTGTGAAAAGAATTGATCAGCAAAAAAGCCTGATCTGCTAAGATAAAAAAAAAACCTTCTCTCACACACAAACACACCCCTAGTGCTTCTCCCCGCAGCAGATGCAGCAGAAATCAATTTCTCTGGAGGGAAGACAACTCTGCTGAGAGTGAGAAAAAACGTTCCAGACAAGCAAAGGAGAAAAGACAGAAAGGAAAAGAGGAAAAGAGAGATAGGAAGGAGAACAGAGAGAAAGAGAGAGAGAAAACGTGGCCGTACATAATACAGACTGTGTAACACATTAGAAATCATGGTGAGGTTTGGTAAGGAGTTAGACAGTCTTGCCTGGACAGTGTCTGATTGGCTTGTTTCAGGCCTTCTTTTGTTTAGCGTACTAAATCAGTCGTACACAAACATTTAGACTTCACTAGAACAAATGACTTCAATGTTTATCCAACGAAGGACACTAACTAAATCTAACTAAAGCAATCTTATCTAAATGGATGCCATGCTTGACTCAGCCTTGTGGTCAACTATGCAACATCTCTGGTCAACATCTCTAAAACATACATATCTCAACTATTCACATTGGGTTGAGACATCAGTTCTCAAACACTTGTTGGGTTTGGGTCAGTTTAGGATTTCACATTGGGGCTCCCCTTAGCCTCTGTCCTGAAAGGGGGGCATCCACCAATTTTTAAAAAAATTCTGGATTGTTTAACGAGATATAAACAAAGTCATTCAGAGTGGTACGATGTAAAATGGTGCACAGAACTAACCAGCTCAGATTTCTTCACAGTGGTAATGATGGGAACCAGGCGTCGCAATGACTAATAAATCATTTAAATTATGTGATCATTTTCATTTACTATCCAAAATGACCAGCAAACCTTCTCATTTTTTATGTGTAATATTGCTCATGGTAAATAGTGGTAAATCTGGAATAAAAAGGTTTCTTTAGGGACTACTTTGCCTTACAACGTACATCTGTACGTACCCTTCCGCCACAGCTGTATTAAAATACATTTTAAGCCAAACCCTTCTCAAAACTATCATAAACCAATGTCTCAGACATCAGATATCAGTGTATTCATGACTATTTTGTGTAAGAATTTTCTGTGAGGGAGCTTTTAGAGGCATTAAACGCTTCGAACATGTGGTTCCTATCACTGTTGTGAACAACTCTGACTCAGTAAGCTTCTCTAGAACAGAGCACACACCAAACCACTCTGAATGACTTTGTTTACATCTTAAGTATTTAATTATGCAGAAATTTTGAAAAATCAGTGGAATTCGTCTTTAACAGATTTACCCTGTATTTGTCCCTGCTTTAGTTTCCCTCTACTTTACTTAGCCTCCCTACTTTTCTTAAGCTGATCTAAAGCAGTGTTTAACCTGGCACACCGTAGTCAAGCGTATTGTCCAGTGAGGTCCAGAAGGCCAGCAAGGCAACAACTTATTAGCCTATGTATATTTTATCCAGACTGAAAATTTTGGGGATGTTGTTGGAGGGTGACTGTTGAATAATAAGTTTAATTTAAGGTTAATTTCAGATGATAATTAGGCTGTTCATTACTTATGATTTGTCTTTAATGCCAGGCAGCTGAAAACTGTTGCTAAGGAAATATAAAGGGGTGCTATCATTCAGATTGTGGAGTTCAATTTGGTCTCTGGTTCGTTGTGGTCAAGCTCGACTCATGTTTGCAAAGAATATTGCTGGGTTGGTTTGGAGTCAAAATATGGTGCTGTGGGTCAGGTTGGGTTGGACAGGTTGGTCTGTATTCAGGTTCAGACAAAAATTTCAGGCCAGATCAAAGCCTTAACTTCTAGTCTCCAAGCTGTCATAAGTACATTAAGTTTTGTTGACTTGTCAATGTTGATTTCCAGTCACTGTCCATCACTGACTGAGATTCGAGACTCCAAACTTCATCTAGGCTCCAGGAGGACTCAAGCGAATCTCGCAAGCTCCATTATCAATTGCCTCCCTCGCACTCCTCAAACCCCAAAACACGAACGTCGAACATCGCTCAAGATGACAGACGTCTGCCCTGAAACGCTTTCTGCTAAATTATGTGCCGGAGTTTGAGATCCAAGAGGACGGCAGCATAATAGGCCCGTATCTTTCTTCTGCGCCTGCCCATTGTCCTCCCCCGGTTCAAACGCACCTCTCCTGCTCGGCCAGTTTGAAGAAGCTCCCTTTCGTTTGAAATTAATTCTGAGAGAGACTGAAAAGATGTGTGGCATCCACTCCCCCCGCCACCCGCATCCGTCTGTCACACTCTCCTCTCTCTCTCTTCATTTAAGGCTAATTTGAAGCTGAGGTAGGAGACTATGGAGATGAGATGCTGTTAATGCTCTATTTGATGTGTGTGGAGAGTGCTCGGACTGCCCCAGGGCTTTGATCTTCTCCTTTATCAGATCCAATAGCACGCTGGGTGATAGCAGCCAGACGCCTGTGACGGTTTCAGTGTCTCGGGAGGGAAGTCAAGTGCAAAGAGACTCATTTTCCCCCACGCTTCCACTTTTGTGCCAGGCGAGACACTCCCCAATCTCTTCATGTAAGGCCCTTTTTCAGCTTCTTGCCTTTCTCGCTAGTTACTGAGGGAGATCCTTCTCATTTCTCTCATAGTTCGCTCTTACCTTGCCGTGAAATTGGCCCCTTTTTGAAAATCCTCGCACATACACACATGCGTGCACAATACACGCACAAACAAGCCATGAAATCTGCACAAATTCCCAAGTTAGGAGCAGTGTGAGGCCTACCATATTTGCTAGCGGACGCCCTGGAGACAGTGGAGTTGTTGACCGAGTTGTAGGCAGTGACCTGCTTTGGTACAAGAGCCACCACAGCATTATCAGGCACCTGCAGAAGAAACAGAAGTAGAGGTGAATAATAACAGAATACGCAGAAGAAACTTTTTTATCACATAAAATAGTTCTGATACTAAAATACTTAATACACACATATATATCATATCAACTGAGTTATTTAAGTACAGCTTGCCTGGCAAACATAACCTACTGTTTACGAACTACATTCTCGATCAGAGAACTGTTTTTTGCTATTATTATTGACAGTGAAATTGTTGAGCATAGGTGCATGTTGTCAGTGCATTTTTTCACCATTTTATAAAGAAAAAAAAACAGTAGAGGCTGAGCATTATAGTTATTTTACTGTGGTTAAAGAGGTTTTACTCTGCTTCACAGGCCTAACAACCTTCATTAACCCTGGTAAAATCACTGTGAAACTTTCAAACAATGCAACTGCATCAGATGACATGAAAAATAGAACGTCTGATCTCTAGCATGCACTACGACATCTCCACGATGTACAGTGTGTCACAGTTTTACATTGCCATATCGCAATGTTTCGATGCATTGTTACACCCCATCTTGTGATATAAACGTATATCAAGCCTTTAACTTATGGAGGTAGTATGAGGACAGACTGATTGAGGGAGAGCAGAGAACTCTGAGAACTTGGGGTGGAATTCTGGGTGGCTTCTGCTTGGAGCTGGAAGGCTGTCACTTTTTAATGGTGGTAGGACCGACATAGGACTGAGAAACAGGGAGGAGATGGGGTGGCAGTTATAAATAGAAGGTAGATAAGGGGATTTTTAAGGCATTAGATAGGTAGGAGGAGGGGTTTCAGGCATGGTCTGTCCTCGTTCAGTTATTCCATTAGTCCATTTATCATTCTTTCCATCTCCTGTAAGTTACATTTTGGAGATACAGTTTTGTTAAGACAGCAACAATGTTACATCCAAGCTGCACAAAGCAAGTGTACCTCATTCTGTATGGAACTGATGGAACTGATGGAGTTCCTATCTTTTCAATTTCTCATATTTCTCTTGATATTGTTCAAAATAATTTGAACATTATAATGGCCCTTCAGAGGATTATGGTTTCTCTGGCTCCCAATTCAATAACGCCTCAGCTGGGACCACTCAAGCAGGGCAACTCTGTGCACCTGCATCAGTCTTGGAACCCCAGCCAAACGGATTCAATTAACACACAGAAGGGGGGGTTCCCCTTCCTCCGACGAGTTTCCCCCTCCCTCAGCACAATCTGGCACCCCAGTGGCTCGCGGCACTTACAGGGTTAATTGAGGTGAGTCTGCGGATATGCTTTGAACCGCAGCCGAATACATGGACCCAGGCAGCGCTGGGCTTCAGAGACAATTACAGCTTCATTCTATCTATCCAGACTCTAAAGAATTCTAACTGGAGATAATCTGAAGAGGGTCCAGTGGATGGACCAAAGGAAAAATGGGAGCAGATCTGCCTACACAGAGAGCACAATGGGATACTACTTCTCTTGGTAGCACTCAAGCATACAGCCATTGAGCTGATTAACATCCTAAGCTATTATTAGGAGCCATTTGAAAACAGACAAGGGAAGTGAAGTCTCTTTTTTGTGTCGCTCCACACACTGCCAGCCTGAGTGAATCTGCACTTTGAGAGATGCTCTGCTGCTGATAGGATTCAGGCTCATCAGATATGGAGAATGTCAGTGAGGGGCTTATGTAACGTGGCGAGATGTTTCCCAACAGGAAATCAAAGAATTAATGCTGGAGACTCAGATGGGTCAGAGCACGTCTGACTGAAGAGAGACTGAATTAGAGCTGAAGGAGTCTGTCAAAGGTGCGGCGCTCATAGTATTCTTAGAAACAGGCTGCACGAAACGCACAGTGACCACAGCTGCAATGGAGCAGCATCAAGACTAGGTTCATCAAGAGAGAACAAAGAATGAATGAATGAGTTATAAAAAGGAAAAAAAAAGTATTACACGTTGAATTTACTCAAATCTAAGAACAGTATCTCTCCCCTGAATTTCTAACAGGCTTGGGAAGTTGGGAAGCTTTTTTATGTACACTGCTGTGCAAAAGTCTGAGACTACCCTTCATTTATTTAAATTCCAGTCAAATATATAAGCTAAATATATTACCAATTTTTTTTTTTTCAATATTTAGTCTGCCTTTATTACAGCTTCCATTTGTTTGTCCAGTTTTCCAAAGAAATCTGCAGAGATTTTGTTTCACATCTCCGAAGATCAGTCTTAGAAGTAGATTTTGCATCTTCTGCTTCTCACAATCTGAGTAAACACGTTCAGTGACGTTAAGGTCTGGACTCTGGGGTGGTCAGTCCATTGTTCTGAGAACACAAACAGCTTCTTTGTTTGATCTGCAAACGCTTTTTTGTCTCAGTAACACCTTCTTCTCACTGTGGAAGACAGTGGATGTTTTCAGATCTGAAGCAGCTTGATTTTCTCCTCTCTCTCAGAGATGAAAGCTTTATATGCTGTTTATCTGATGGGGGCAGTTTTGGTGTCGACCAGGTCTTCCAGGTGGTTGTTAGGAGCCACATTTTCTCTGTAGCTTTTCATGATTTTTTGAATTACCTCATACTTAATAGCTGTTTTGACTAAAAATTAGGTAAATGAAGGGAGGTCTCCAGAATAGTAAAAGAAAGAAACAAAGAACGAATGAGTGATAAAAATAGTGGAAATGATGATCAGTCTATAACCTATACCTCTCTTACACAGCTTTCAATCAGAGTAGTGCCAGCTTAGGGTTTGTTTCCTGAAACAGACATTTTTCAGTCTGTAGGTCAAACAACCATCAAGATTCCTTGGTTTTGAGTGCAGCGTGGTAAAATAAAGAAATAAAGAGTGAGCGAATGAGTGAAAATCAGAAAATCTACACTATTTCACCTGAACAGTCTCTCTCTTCAACATTGCTAACAGCCTTTGGGAGTTGGACAGCTTTTCCTTTCCCAAGGATAACGTGCCCTCCCTACCTGAAAATGAATGAACTTCTGTCTTCATTATCTCATCTCCGATTCCAATCACCTCCTAATCCATCCTCCCACCCGTCGCCCGGGCGCTCGCGCGCCGGCCCGTGTGACATTTAATTTGAGCACGTTGCGGACCCCCCTCTCTCCCAGAAAGCTCATTTGGAGGGTGGCGGGCTTTACCCAGGAAATTATTTACACTATAATGAAGCGCCGGCCTGGCTCCTATCCTCTCCACACAGACAGACAAACAACGGGATGCGCCGCTGATATGGACAGTGTAAGCGTTTGCGTGATAGGCAGCTGACTGGCGCTTCAGATTCTATCAGCCTCTCACACGGTGTGTTGTCACGGACAGTTTCCTGAACCCCCCCTCACCTTCATTCCTTCCCAGCCACTGCTCGGAGGCCCTGTCAATCAACGTCGGTTTCTCTAAATGACCGGGAAGTGATTGGACTGCTCAGTCCATTACAGGGTCATGGGGGTGATAGGGGACCTTAAGGGACAGTCCCCTGTGGTCAGTAAGGGATGATAGGGGTCCGAGCCACCATGAATGTTAAGCAATTCATTGGGTTCTTATCTGTCCAGTGGCCTAAATTGGTCTTCTTGGAGAAACACGAGCTGGAAAGCAGCCATCAAATCAATGGTGTCGATAGCGGAACGGTATGGGAATAATGAGAGGAAAAGAGATAATTATCACCTTTTATGTCGACTTGTTCTATCAGAGATGAACTTGAAAGATCCTCATTGTTACGTACATGAGAGACCAGCTTGAAAGACCCTCATTGTTACGCGCTGATCAAAAAACACGTGAACCCCCTTTTTGCTCAAACGTTTACTCGAATTCTTTTGAACACTCAAAAAGGAACATTTTCAGATCCATTGATCTGATAACCACTTCGCTTTCCTTTCTTCCACTATTACGCTAAGCAATTATATCGTCAAAGTTTAAGCTGTAATTGAAACCGCGGAACAGCGCGCTACCATATACGATGTGTTGCTCATCAAAAGACATTAAGTGAGCGACATCAACCACAGCCTACACCTGTACCCCCACTGCTGTCAGAGTTAATACTGCCTGATATCCGGGGGTGGGCCTTTAAATAGAATCCGATACAAGCACACATGCACAGCCGCGTACAACGTGTGCCGTTCTTGTCGACTTAGATTTAGGCTTCATAGGCGTGAACACTTTGTGCTGTCACTATTATGTGAAATTTTAGTCAAAAGAATTGTTTTTTTTCCCCTCTCCTTTTGAAATCAATAGCATGCCGGTAGCAGGCATCAATAGCAGCTTTTTTCCTTATTCTTCAAGAAACATCACACGCTTGAAAAGAAAGAGAAAGAGCTACAGAGGGAGCAGAGAGAGAGAGAGCGAGGTCGTAATGCTCGAATCAGATAACCAGTATATATAAACTGGGATTTACATAAAGCCCTCTGCTGCTTCAGCAAATGAACACATAGCTCATATATGCACATAAAATATGCATATTGCATGTGAATTTGGCCCAAATGAGAATAGAAAAGAATGGGTTGCATGTGATTTATTGCTGTTTACGCTGGAAGGGGCTCGAGCTGTCACGAAGATGGACAGCTCAAGATGGAACTGTCATCATGTCCTACAATTACCCAAACCCCCAGACAGCAGGTCGATGCATATGCTCAATGTGAGCCACACCTACTTATAAGACCGTCTACAATGTTCTCAATGTAATTTTGATGTAATTGACACGTCTGCTTATGATTGAAACATCTACAACGTTCTCCAGGGAGTAACTTGTATACACAATGTGCGCCAGACCTGCGAGTGAGTTATGAATGTTCTCCACTCACTGGCCACTTTATGAGGTGTTCAGTCAGCCACCCTCGACCACAATCATCATTGGTCAGTTTCACCACAGGGCCACTGTGGATCAGATGTTATTTGTGAGGTGGGCCATTCTCAACACAGCAGTGACACTCACGTGGCAGGTCACTGTCACTGTTGGAGTGTAAAAAGTCTATATTTGGCCAAGATGCGGCTGTGTGGTCGCAAACTTATCACTGCTGGAAGGCTGGCCAACACAAACTGTGGATCAACAGATGGGCTACAGTCTCAAATGGGGTTTTTTCACTGGGCAGTACAGTGCAGCATGGTATGGTTACAAAATTGAACCCAGGACTACTCATACCCCGTTTCCACAGGCGGATTTCTCTTTGTGGTCACGTGATTTTTCATGCAAATCCAATGTTACAGTAAATACCAGTGGAGTTCTGATTTATCTTTTAGTCTACATTTGTTTTTTTGTGAGAATCACAGACAGCAATTCTCGCTAGGTAGAGTTTTTTAAATGGTGGTACACTCTCAGAAATAAAGGTACTAAACTGTCACTGGGGCAGTGCCCCTCTTGTCACTGGGGTGGAACCCTCAATGGTCCATCTCAGTTCCTTTAGTCAGGGAACATAACTGTATCATAATCCATTGAAATCATATTTTCTAAGCTGTACTGACTCCACACACCCCGTCTCGTCTCCAGGCTTTTTATTTTATTGATCTGTTTTAAAACATTCGGTTATGAAAAGGTACAAATATGAACTTTTCACCTGGAAAAACTTATTTAAGGTACACAATTGGACCTTAAAACCACTGTTGTACCTTTGAGGGAACATTTACACCGTTTGTACCTTGATGAGCCAAAAATACACCTGCACAGAACCTTTATTTCTAACAGTGTAGAGGTGGGCGATATGGCTAAAATCAAGTTCTCACGATACACAATGTCATATACAATGAATACACCATCAAAGACTATCAATACATTAATTTGCATATAACATTTCACATATTGCACTGCACTAAAACCAACTAACAGGACTAATTATGCTCTCTTTGTAATCAAATATGCAGTTGAGAAGTGCGAATAATAGCCACAATATGTGCAGAAAAGTACATTGTGACTTATTGAGGCATAATTTTTTACGATAATGATAGATATTGTCATGCTGTAAAGCGCTAAATGGTGCTCAGTGATATTGCACAATGACTTTACTATGATTGCATTACACCAATCAGTGGTTTGCAGCATTACTAGCTCCATTCATTCATTCTGGCTTGGCATACTTGGAACCCTGCCAAGAAAGGTACCGAAATTCACCATGGCAACATGGGTACTCAGGTATGGTACAGGACAGTCGGCAGTGGAAATGACAACAAAGTGCGTGATCATGGTTTTGTAGCTGTACAATACCGTACTGCGTCACCTTGTGGACATAACGCCATAAGGCAGAGCTACAGAGCAGGTGTTTCTAACAAAGTGGCCAGTGAGTGTATACAAATTAAATAGAAGTATATATTAAAATATATACTACTTAACTTAGATTGTCCCCATGCATTGTATATAAAGGATGTTGTAAAGGTCAGAGGCTCATAGATGGGGTCTTACCTGGTAATGGGACAGCATGTTGAGCCTCTTCCAGTCACTCTCGATCTTTGTGGTCATGTCCTCGTCCTGCAGAATGATCCGGACCCCTCTGCCCTGGCGCCACTCTGCAGAAGACAGAAATCATGAGAAAGTGTAGCTACATTTCCAAGAATCTGGCATCCTTTCTTAAACAGCTACTACCAATTCAGCTACTTGCAGCTACTCAGCATGGCTTATGGATTTTACAGCATTTACTGAATTATAAGTCTTAAGATTAATAACTTAATGGATTTCAGAGTAATGCAGAGTGTTTTGGTGTGAAATGCTCCAGTCTAGAGAAAGTTATAGAGTCTGAATTGTTCACAGTGGTGATGATAGGAATCAGATGTCTGAAGAGTTTAATGCCTCTAAAAGCTCCATCACAGAAAGTTTTTACACGAAATGGTACTGAGTACATTGCCTGATGCCTGAGACATCGTTTTATAATAGTTTCAGAAGCTTTTGGTCTAATACTTATGTTTCATAAGCCATTCATGGTGGAGAGGAACATGCAAGACTAAATTGTCCCCGAAGAAAACATAGTTTTTCAGAGTTACACTACTACTTCATTATTAACATGACATCTAAAACTCAGAAGATATGAGTCGGTGTAGGCTCAAGTGTAGGTTGTTTGGAATAGTGAATATAATTATCTCCTTTTGATGTTACATTTGTGTCGTAGACATGGTGACCCCTGGTTCCTATCACCACCACTGTAAAGAGTCAGCAAGTTTCTCTACAATGAACCATTTCACATCAAACCATTTTGAATGATGTTATTTCTCAACGATTGAATTATGCAGAAAATCTGAAAAATCTGTGGAATTCCTCTTTAATAACAAGCCTGTGGTTTAAAGGATTAACTGCAAACATGATCAAGAAGCCAGTAATTTATGCATGACTTTACCAAGTTTGAGCTGCAAAGTTTCCTGTTTCTAAACTCCTTTGAGAGGGTCTGTGGAGGCAAAGGCCTCTTCTAAGGGCAGAGAAGATTTAATGATACAAGTGTGGGCTCTTTTAAAGAATCTCAAAAAAAAAAATACAGAAAGTGATTCACACAGAGAGAGAGAGAGAGAGGGAGATCAAGCCTGCCGATGCAGCGGGAAGAAAAGAAAAAGCGAAGCGAGAGAACACGCGAGGGAGTAAGAAACGAGGGGAGAGTGGGAGAGGGAGAGGTAAGCGGAAGGTGGAAGAAAAGGTAAATTAATCTCCCTCTACGCTCTTTGGGCCGGCGTGGCCGGCATGGATCGATGGGGGTGATTAGGGCTGGAGCTGAAAGCCACTTCCTTTTTCATCTGCAGCGGGCCGAGCCGCCGGGGCCCAAAAGGCCCTAATCGACCCGCGCTAAGCCTCCTGCTGAGCAAACTCTTATTGCACTTCCCCTGCAATCGCCGGAAAAGCAGAGCATGGCCCCTCAGTGGCCTCCCTTAGAGGCCCCTGGGGGCCCATGGCCACCGCCTGCAGCTTCAGAGGTATGTTTTTCATGAGAAGAGCAAAGGATGGAATAAACGCCTCCTTTCGTGATGAGACGCAGGAGGGCCGTCTTCTCTCTTTTTTTTTATTCCAGTCGCGCCACAAATGAATGCGTGATTGGGCTGGGGGGGCGGAGAGATCCCTCTTCGCCGCCGCTATCTCCTGCTCTGATTGTGACTAGATAAACAAAACAGCAATCACAACGCGGGATGATGAAACATGTCTCCGGGTGATGGGGAGAAGCTTTGCATCGCAAATCTTCAGCACACAGAGAGAGCGAGGCAGAGAGAGAGAGCAAGAGAGAGAGACTGTGTGAGATGAAAAAAGAGAGAGACAAAGATGATGAAGAGAGAGAAGGAGAGAGAGAGAGAGGGAGGGAGGGAAAGAGAGAGACCCTCTTATTGTTATATCCCTCAGTACTGTACATCTCTCTATAAACATGCAAATGAGCAGCAGCAGCTTCCGAGAGGACAGAATAAACAAACGGAAAACTGAGCAAGAAGGAAAATAAAGACAGAGAGAGAGAGAGAGAGAGGAAAGAAAAAAGAGAAGAAACCAGAGCAAGCTGAGATTGCCCTGATTCCCAAAATCCACCTGGGTGTTCTCGGACAGCACAGGAAGGGGGGGAAGGAAAGAGAGAGAACCAGCAGAGAGAGAGAGAGAGTGAGAGAGAGAGAGAGACAGTCTCTATACACCGAACATAGAAACAGTGAAATGTAAATATATACTCAAATCCAGAGCAGTGACTCATATCAGCAACATGCAAATGAGTTAGCTCAGAACTTCAGGCCAACTGTAGATAAAAGCTAATGAACGATGAACATCTGAAGGAGATGTTTCATACTTTTTACCCACATATTACTCACAGCACTTCACATATTTTGTATAAGTCATCCTCCTACACAAAGAGCCTGTTTATACCTGACCTTAACACATATTTTGATGATCAGACTGTGTTTAGATTTCACTTGAAATCCAAATTATGATCGGATAACAGTCGGATTTAAAACAAATCTAGGTCTTTTCGTTGCCTGTCTACAATTACTGCCTGTAGTTAGAAGACCAGACCCCCTCATAGCTGTAGTAGGACTGACGCAGGACTGAGGAACAGGGAGGAGATGGGGTGGTGGTGCGGATTGCGAACACTTTGTCACTGGAACGGAAGGTGAGGATGTGAGTTTATAGAGCATTAGATTGGACGACAGAGGGGTTTCAGGCCTGCCCTCCCCAAAAAAACTTCAGTTATAACATCACTACATAAAAAGTAAACAAAAGTAAAATGGAAAACAAAGTCAGACTCAGGTCAGGTTTGGACTCAAAACTTGGTGCTAAAGGACATGTCAGGAAAATTCTTAGGCTACTTTCAGGTTCGGACCAAAATTTCAGCCCTGACTAAAGTGCTACACTTAGGCCCAATCCCATTTGACCCCTTGCCCCTACCACTTAGCCCTCTGTTTTGCACATTCATGTCTAATGTTAGGGTGTCCAGATTTTTGTTGAGATAGAGGGGTAGAGCAAAGTGTTAGGGCTACAGGGCCCTCCAAATGGAGGTTTTTCAGAGGCACACTCCAAACAGAGTGTTACAAAAAAAGAAAGAACGTGGAATGGGAAAATTTGAAAAAGAAGCTGGCGAATATCTGACTTCAGCTTCATATCACTGAAGATTTAGAGGCGGGTAATAATAAATAATTCTCGCATCCCCTTCTTAGAAGTCATATGATGCCCTAAATGTAACTAAAGCCCAGCAGTGAAGAGCTGAACTTTACCCTCCTCTGCTATCACTGCAGAACACCTCTAGTAGCTGTTAATGAAGTAATGCTCTTTTTATTTGAGGGTCCCATTTTGTACGTGAAGATTTCAACCACTACCCTTTGTAACTCAGTTCCAAGGGACAAGGTGACACTTAAAAACAAGGGGTAGGGGTAAAAATAAGAAATGCAATTGGGCCTTAATGTACAGCTACACTTACTGATTATTTTGGGTGAATTCTGTGGGTATCCCAGTACAAAACTCACTGCCATGCCAGCATCACTGCTGTGCTGAAAATGGCCCAACTTCCAGATAATATCCACTCAGTGGTGGTCTTAAAGTGGTGCCTTTCCATTGATGGATGGGGTAGAGGGAGGAGCAGCAATCAGTAATTGCACAGTTATAAAGAGCACCTATATGGTAGGTGTTTCTCATAAAAAGGCCAATGAGTGCAGATACAGGGTTAGTGTTTCTAATAAACTGGTGCTTGTGTGACGACCGTGTAATATAGCTTCTAAAGCCAGAAAGTGCTGCACAGTGAGAAGGTGCAGCTAGACAGTTGCAGCAGTTGCTCTTCCTCAATCTTCCCTCTCTCCATCTCTTGCCTCAGGGGGAGTGTGACAGAGCAAATTAAAAACAAAGGCCAGAGACGGAAACACTCCTGTCCAATCAGTCCCAGTAGGCTTTTGGAGACCAAGGCTGCCACGCTCCCATTAGCCCTATCAGGCCTGGAAATCAGCAGCTGAAGAGGCACCACTATCCATTTAAAGCAGTGGTTTATGATAACACTAGTGTTGCTAGGAACGAATGAAAGCTGCTATTGGCAACGGCTCTGGAGACATTATGCTAATTGCACTGCAAGCTGCTGTACATCTTCAGCATGTTAAGGTGAGCCATTCCTTTAAGGAACATAGAGATCGCTGCCTCCTTTCGTTTGGCGGATCCCTCACAATTTCGAGATTACTCCTCACTCCGGGGACGCTGCATACCTCCCTCTTCATAAAACAAATAAACCTAATAAGCCGACACACTCCGCCTTAAAACCATTTCACACGGCACCGCCTGTCAAAAGGATGAAACCATTTTTTTCTCTTGTTACGGAGGCTGTTCCCCCACAGACACCCTAGCATTACTCCACGGGGGACCTTAAATATACCATTACTGCAAAAAAATGCAGACATGAAAGGAGGCATAAATGGCCACGCTGATATATTACTCCATATAAAAAATGTGCCACTTATGGCCAACAAAGCCCAAGGAAAAGTGGAGGATATACAATCAGAAAGAAAATGACTGCTGGTGGGCTGTGATGGACTAGCCTGACTGTAAATTCTGCATGGGTGGCCTCTATCATGAGTCATTTGTGGAGGGAAAAATGGAATTGTGCAGATCAGCGCGCTATTTTTCATTACGGCTAACTCTCTCTCTCTCTCTTTCTCTCTCTCTCTCTTACTACTGTCAATTCAGTGTGTAAAAATAAATTCCGCCACATATGTGTTGAGTGTGGGTGTGCTTTGGTGTGCGCAGTGCCCGCAGATACCCAGGCTTGTTAAAGCTCATAAGAGAGCGACAGCGAGTCACCTTCACTTTGTCCTATTATCCCAAGGCCCGGTCAATGCCATTGATTTCTATGCAATGCAGCAAAAGCTTTGGGGTGCGAAAAGGAGTCTGATGGGGAAAATTGGCCCTTAAATCCTGAGGCTAGGACAAAGTCCTGCTGTTCTCTGTGGAAATGACTCATGATCAATTCCAAAACAGGACAACATCGCTTCCCCTTTCTCTCTGCTTAGTCATCCATCACGGGCTGAGGATCAGTGAGGAATAGGACTCCAGTTTGAGAAACTTCTGGGGCTGAATAGAAGAAAGTTAGTGTATAAACCTCTTGCATGATCATTTGACCAGTTGAAACCACTACAGGGGATGGAGCTGTGCTTTGGGTTTATGTTGTTTTTCACTAAAAGTGTCCAAACTGGTTTTCCATATTCACCTCTTCCTGTATTTGTGGGTTTAGCTAATGGATTTATGTAATAACTGAAGTTCAGGAGGAACAACAAACACAAAAATCTCCCCTTCCACTAAGATCTACCCCTCACATAGATATGTGGACCTGCCCCCATTTTCTGTTTATTCTGTTTCTCACAACCCTTATGTGCAGAGCAACAGTGTCAGAGCAACTGAGGGTCCCCCCGACCCTCAGTTGAGGTGCAACTCAGAAAAGAAACGAAAGGTGCTAATAGCTGGGAAAACAAACTGGACAAGGAACGAATTAAAAAGGGATACATACTCTAAATACAGAGGTCACTGGCTGAGTCAGAGCAACATGCACGTGGTCATGTGAACTCAAGACTGAACGGTGAGCACCCCTTAAGTAAGCCCACAGCTGCTACTGCTCAGCCCTAACTACTTAGTCCTGGCTGTCTGGCCCCTCCTAGTGGCTGGAGGTGGCCTTGGCAGCTTGCCTGGACGTTACACAGAAGGCCTCAAAGGGGTTACGGCCATCAAGCTATAGGCTTCAAGCTGAAGCACATCTGAGAAATACATGTTAAATTCATTAACTCATTAACTTAATGCCATTTTATTTCAGGTGTGGTCCAATCATTATCTTCATTACAGTAGTTTGTATACATGAGCCCTTACCCAGGTCCATATCAGAGGCTTTCTGGCGGTGGGAGTAAGGAACGTTCTTGTAGATGGCATCTAAGATCTTTTCCTTCACTTGACTGATGGTGTCACAGTTCAGCACCTTCACCTGAATCTCTGGACTCTTCTCATTGTCTGGGTGAATGCAGTTCACCACCTGCAAGACAAAAATACAACCAAGACACAATTAGACAGCAGCAGTTACCAAGGTGACAACAAAAGCATGCTGTAATATTATGCATGAATTATCTCTCCCTGGTAGTTCAAACCAACAGAGAATTTCAGTCAAAAGTGCAGATTCTAAACTTTTATTACACACTTTATGACACACAAGCTAGACTGCACTGGAGTCCATGCAGTTCCTGAATAATAAGCCTAAAGACACAGTTAGCCTGGGATTTTAAAGGCTTAAATCCACGCCAAATGTATTTTCATAAACAGAAAAGGACATATCTGTGTTATCAATTGAGGATGACTATAAGTTATTGTTTTGTTTACAGTTCTGGTTTTCAAATCCTCCCATTTTTTCCACTTTTTCATTATTTCTTGACATTGAAACAAATGGAAAAGGCAGAGAAGTGCAGACTCCTAGGTTATCCACAGGAGACAGTGGAGGGCACACTCTGGTTCTGCGCCAAGAACAAATATCTTTTGTGTTTTGCCATGTTTTTTTTTGCCAAGATGTGACATCAAAATAAATAGATAAAAGTCAGGAGTGCAGGGGGCAACCTGTATAGAACATAATCTGAATTTAAATACAATTTATTACCTAAATATGTACTAATGTAATTACATTTACACAGCAAAATAACAAAATAACAACAAAAGCCTGGATAGATAGATACATAGAAAGATAGATAGATAGATAGATAGATAGATAGATGGATGGATGGATGGATGGATGGATGGAGGGATGGATGGATGGATGGATGGACAGAAAGACAGAGAAATGGATCGATGGGTGGAGGACGGACGGATGGACGGACAGACAGACGAACAGACAGACAGATAGAAAGATAGAAAGATGGATGGATGGACAGACAGATGGATGGAAGGATAGATAGACAGATGGATTGAAGGATAGATAGATGGAGGAATGGATGGATGGATGGATGGATGGATGGACAGATGGATGGATGGATAGACAGACAGACAGAGAGACAGATAAAAAGATAGGTAGATGAATTGTGAGACAGATAGATAGATAGATAGATAGATAGATAGACAGACAGACATAGAGACAGATAGATAGATAGGTAGATGAATTGTGAGAAAGATAGATAAGTAGATAGATAGATAGATAGATAGATAGATAGATGGGATGGTTGGAGGGATGGATGGATGGACAGAAAGACAGACAAATGGATAGATGGGTGGACGGATGGACGGACGGATGGACGGACAGACAGACAGATAGAAAGATAGAAAGATGGATGGATGGACAGACGGACAGACAGACAGATAGATACTTAGATAGATAGACAGACAGATGGATGGAAGGATAGATAGACAGATGGATTGAAGGATAGATAGATAGACGGAGGAATGGATGGATGGATGGATATACAGACAGACAGAGAGACAGATAAAAAGATAGGTAGATGAATTGTGAGACAGATAGATAGATAGATAGATGGATAGAAGGATAGATAGATAGATGAAGGGATGGATGGATAGACAGACAGACAGAGAGACAGATAAAAAGATAGGTAGATGAATTGTGAGACAGATAGATAGATCGATAGAAGGATAGATAGATAGATGAAGGGATGGATGGATAGACAGACAGACAGAGAGACAGATAGAAAGATAGGTAGATGAATTGTGAGAAAGATAGATAGATAGATAGATAGATAGATAGATAGATAGAACACGTTTTGTTGATTTTCTAAGCAGTAATAAGTCTACAGAGAAAACACTTCTGCACATTTTAATGCCCAATTACTGCTTTTATTTGCTGAATTTAGCAAAAGTAAAACAAAACGTGGCTTGTGTGAAATTAATGGGACCTTTTATATGGCAAAAAACAGAAACTGAGCAGTAAAATGAGCAGAAAATGCCATATTTACGTGCGCTCTCTGCACAGGATGTGTTAACGTATTTTCACTGAAAATCAGTGTAACATCATTTCACCAGGCTTGTTCACAGCTTAGCATAGGACTGTGTGTTTAACAGAGATCCAGTTAAATAAGCAGTGTGAGGCAGATTATCTATGTGTCACTGCTGTGATGGCATGTCTGTCTGTCAACTGCAGAGGTGAATAAGTGAACACGCACTGTAATTGTGAGTGTGAACGTGTGAAAGCCGGCGGAACGTTCGGCCGCCCCGGGGTGCCAACACCTCACACTAACGTTATCCTGCCCTGCTCCACAATTAACGCGATAATTATCATCATATTCCTCGTCATCGGACTCGTCGTATTTCAGGACGGGGATGACGGTGATGATGATGACTATCATCGTCAGCTGCCGTAATTACATGGTCCAGAGGAAAAGGCAATTTCCATGAGAAAGGGGAAATGGAGTGGTTTTATAGATCTTCTCTAGACCGCTGCGACTGTAAGTGTCTATTATCATGAAATAACCACATGCTAAGGGACCTCAATCACTTATGGCGTACTGCAGGAATGGCCTCTCGTACCTTGAGGGCCATTACTGGAATCAATATACTCCATTAAAAGACTCGCACTGTCCCCCCTAAGACTACTTGTTTACACAGACTTCAGGTGTGTGTATATAGTGGGATCCAAAAGTCTGAGACCACTAGTGAAAATGCTATTATTTTGAATTTTTGCTAAATGAATAAAAAGCTTTTCATTACAATTGATATTATCAACATAGCAATCTGAGTAAATAGTAGAATCTTTGATTGTGTACATGAATTTCTGAATTTCTTAGTATTTGTCTCTACTTGAGAGTGGACTGAACTCAAGCTTCAAAGAAAGGAATAAGACTAACTACTACTGACCTTTCTGTACAAAGACCTTAACATGTTCGATTTCACAAATTTGCTTAAATTTGACCTAGAAATTTGAATTTCATACAGAATTTCATGGAGCCACACTGGTGACATCCTGTATAAATGGCAATAATGTGTGGCCATGACTTAGTAAGGCATGGGAACAAGATCCTACTGCATTTCTTACATTACATTTTTACATTACATTACAAAAAATTGAAACAAAGACAATTAAAATGATCCTAACGCGTGGCCATGACTTACTAAGGTATGGGAATGAGATAATTAAGGTGTGGCCACAACTTAGTAAGGCATGGGAACAAGATCCTACTGCATTTCTTACATTGCATTTTTACATTACATTACAAAAAATTGAAACAAAGACAATTAAAATGATCCTAATACATGGCCATGACTTAGTAAGGTATGGGAATGAGATAATTAAGTTGTGGCCACAACTTAGTAAGGCATGGGAACAAGATCCTAATGTGTGGCCACTACTTGGTAAGGTATGATCTTGTTCCCATGCCTTACTAAGTGGTGGCCACAACTTAATTATCTCATTCCCACACCTTACTAAGTCATGGCCACGCATTAGGATCTTTTTAATTGTCTTTGTTTCAATTTTTTTCAAGATTTTAAAACTCTGTGTGTTATTTTCAGGTTTAAATGTAAAAATAAATAAATAAATAAATCTAGATTTTCAATGTGGTCTCAGACTATTGGACTCCACTGCATGTACTATACTGTACAAGTCTTAGGCCAAGCAATCTGTTTATAATTAGTTTACAACTATTGCTAAATATTTTAAAAAATATTTCAGTGATATTAACATTATTTTTATACCAGCTACCTACACACATATGCTACAAATTAAAACGTAAACTTTTTATAGGAAAGGACATTCCCCTTCAATTTTACTGCTTCTTAATGATGATTCACATCTACAGCTCGATGAGAAACATTATGTTTTCTGGTTTAACTGCAGCAAAAAAAATGGATAGTTCAGCATTGGATGCCCCCTCATGTATTGCATAGTAGTGGTTATTTATTTATTTCATTTTCATGATATAGTTATGATGGAGCTCTCTGCTGCTAGAATACACAATGTTGAGGCTTCAACAATCAAAATATGGCAAAACTGGGCTGGTAACATTAGTGAACTGCTTAATACATGAGTAAATGGAGAAAAATGGAAATATAAGAGATATAAAGCACCTATACTGCAATGCATGCTAGGATAGGACAGCAGGTTAATCTCTTTATGTCATCACTCTCTAAACACTCTCTTTTTTTGCTTATATATGTGTTGGTGGGGGCATGTAGGCATAGATGCATGTGTATCTATATATGTATGCATGTATATACAAATTTATCTTTGATTTATGGTGTTTATCTTTTTTTTCTACGTTAACTTTGCTGTGTCGTGTAAACTTTGTTTCCAGCACCTGCTGTCTGTGAACAATTCATGGTAAAGTGGGGGGAGAGGAAAGGGTACAATTTGCCTCATAGGTGGGGTTCATTGCATCAGACAGAGAGACTAGAATAAGTGAATTATATGGACGCTTTAAGTCCATAAATTATCCGTTCTTTTCTAAGTAAAGGGAAACACATTGAATTTTGTCTGTGCTAATATGTTACAGATAGACCAGATTGTTACAGCATCTTTCTCTCTGTTTCTCACTGTCTCTCTCTCTCTCTCTCTCTCTCTCTCTCTCTGTCACAGAGCAGGTCACAGTGAGTTTGGGATACATATCACCCTGCAGATGCAGCGGCCCAGTAAACACCTCGCCCCGTCACACGACACGCTCTCAGCCCCCGGCTGCCAATAAGCCCCACAGAAACATGACAACCGGTGGTGACCTCATGATAAAGCACAGGTCAGGAGTCACCATGAGCTGATGTGTTTCCTGTCAGGCATGAAGATTAGTCACCATGAAGAGCAGCAGAAGGCGGACAGAATGCACTCTCTCCTCCTCATCCCTCCATCAGCCTCTCCCTCACTTCCCCTCTCCATCCCCATCCCCATCCCCATCCCCGCGCTGGGCTCCGGGCGGTCTTACCAGCGTCTTGTAGTCGATCTGCTGTCTGATGAGCTTGTCCTCGCTGAGAGAATAGCGTGCTTCTCCTGTGATGGAGTCGATGGGGCCTTTCTCCATCTGCTGCTTGATGGCACAGAAGAGGGAGAACAGAGGCTCTCCGGCACATTCCTGAAGTACGAGAAGAGGAAAAACAGCGTGCCGTCATTCCGGCTCTATTACGCCACCATCTCAAACTCCATCAGAGGCGATGAGAGCTCTCTGCTTCTTATTTTGTGGAGATCTCTCAACAGAGTGATGCTCAGTGCTGGAGTTTAGCCACAGATTTTTATTTTCTTACCATTCAAAAAACACAAAATAATCAGCATCTAATTGCAATACAGTGATTATTCAGTTGGGCTATTAATCTTAAAACATGTTACTTAGGATCTACTATGAAATAGTCAATAAATACTACACATTACGCAGTAATTGCTAATAAACTAATATGTAAGTTGTATGTATACTTTAAACTAAGTCTGCTAAGTGTCTCATTCAGGGTGAAAACACAGCTATGCAGCTGATCCTAAACTGCACGTGTCCATAGTGTCTGTGTATAGTGTAGTTGTTTGGTGATGAGCCATGTTCACCTCTACCAGGAAGACCACAGTGGCCTTCTAATGTTTGTCAATGATGTGAGTGACTGAGGCCAGTTTTTCTTCTCTAGAGTTTTACCTTTATTGATTGACTGATTGATTGACTGAGTAATTGTAAAGTGCAGTCTGTCTATCTATCTGTCTAATTATCTATCTATTGATCTAACTATTCATCAGTTGATTGACTGACTGACTGATTGTACTGATCTATCTATCTATCTATCTATCTATCTATCTATCTATCTATTTACTAATTAACTGACTGACTGATCTATCCATCCATCCATCCATCCATCCATCCATCCATCTACATACAGTACTGTGCAAAAAGTCTCATCATTTACTTAATTTGCAGTGAATTATAGTCATTAAGTACAAGTTGTTCATTTTTAGCATCTATCTATCTACTAATTAACTGACTGACTGACTGATTGTACTGACTGATCTATCTATCTATCTATCTATCTATCTATCTATCTATCTATCTATCTATCTGTCTATCTATCTATCTATCTATCTATCTATCTATTTATTTACTTAATTTGCAGTGAATTATAGTCATTAAGTACAAGTTGTTCATTTTAGCATCTATCTATCTACTAATTAACTGACTGACTGACTGACTGACTGACTGATTGCATCAGGAAAAAAGCAAAAACATTTCACAGGAAGCTTCAGTATTTATTGTGTCTGCTCTGTTTATCTGATGGGGACAGTTTTGATGTCTACCAGGTCTTCCAGGTGGTTGTTAGGAGCCCACTTTCTCTGTAGCTTTTAATCACTTTCTTGAACTCAAGTATTTTATATTCCTTTTTTTTTTACTTATTTTCCTTTGACTTTCTTCCTCCATATGCATGTGGAGTATCTTATATCTAATGACCTTAGAAATAACTCCTGAATGAATAACTTGAACTTAATGGCTGTTTCGACTGGGAATTAAATGAAGGGTGGCCTCTGACCTTCGCACAGTACTGTGCTATATGACTTACACTGTAGTCATACAGAGTGACTATTCTCCATCTTATATCATGAATCTAAATCCTGTGATGGGGCAGTGAGAAGTGGGGAACACTGAGGGAAAGTGTGAGTGAGGCTTTCTGAGAATACAGCACACGTGCCAGCACCTGCAGTGCACCTTTGCCCGTGGCCCCCAAAAGATTAGAGCTGGCTCTTTTGTGCACAACATCTCTCGTGCCAAATCACCCTGAAGCTCTCCCACCTCTCTCTTTTTCACTCTCTCTTTCTCACACACACACTTATACACATAATCCCGCTCACCTTTAGGAACTTGTAGAGAAGAAACGTGAACCAGTTCGTCAGCATTTTCTCCGCCACCGACTCCGTCCTGGAAAAAAAACAGAAGCAGAAGACAAACAGGCGATTATCACAGTGAGCGTTACGCGCAAACACGATTACGGCGACCACGAAAAATTCACTTAACAAAGACGTCTCCGTGTTATGAATAGGACTTTGTTATACAAACATAATTGCCGAAACGTGAATTGCTTTTGCTGGGAACCGTAGCCTCCAGTCTCCAGACATGCCGAGGCCACGGTAATCTATGTGGTTTTAATATGGGCTCCTCAATTAAGAGCCTTTATATGATCCTGCAGGATTGATGTCATGCGAACCTGTGACGGTGCTGTAATAACACTGGGTCTCATTATGCGCAGCGGCGGAGCCATTCAGCGGGAAATAGATCACATTACAATAGAAAGTGGCTGAATGCGGAGTCAGGGGCGCGCGCTAGCCGGCCGTGACTAACTAATACCTTCACTTGTGGTCCAGTGTGAATGAGTGATACATATACATAATAACAGCGACGGGGGGAAACGCGAGAGACGCGAATCTGATATCAGGTGGTGCGCGCATGTGCGTTCAGCGGGGAGCTGGTGATCTGCCAAGGCGCCTTCAATGAGCTGTGGCATAATGCATCAATATTTCAGGATTACGGTATTGTTGGTGTACATGCACATGTCTATGTCTATGTGTGTGTGTGTGTGTGTGTGTGTGTGTGTATCACAAAGCCCCCCCTCGACTGCTCCAAATCCCGGCTGCCACCTGCAGCCCCCCTCCCTTCTCTCCCACTCAGCGAACACTTGAGGACCTGCCACTGTGTGTGTATGTGTGAACCTCCAGTCTTTCCAGTAAGCTGGCACAACACCTGGAAAGGATTAGTTTCCCCCTTGTTGTGCAGCCACTGTCTCAGACGGGCCACAGCGGACAGAACAAGGAGCGATCCAGGGGCCGACGGGGTCACGTTTCATCTTTCCTTTCATCTTATCTCCCTGTGTGCCAGCCATGCCCTGTAATCAAACTACCCAGCGCTCATCATGCCAGCAAATCCAGCCCAGCTAGACGAGGCAGAGAGGCTCGAATGGCCAGAGTAGGTCAATTCTGCCAGAACAGGGAATGGAATATGAGAGCCTGGTAGGGATGGGAGGAAAGAAAGAGAGAGAGAGAGAGAGAGAGAGAGAGAGAGAGAGTGAGAGAGAGAGAACTTGACTTGCTCGCTTGGCATTCCGTATTTCCTTTTACTAATTCCCACTAACTCTCCCTCCCTCCGTCTCTCGGGCCCTGTTTCAACACCTATTTAACACACCCTCATCCACTACGACTGACCACTCAGATGTGAGTCATTCCTACATTACACAAGTGGCCATTCGTGGCAGAAGGAGAGGAGGGGACAGGTTATCCTCACTGAGCAAATCAGCTAGACATGCACACTCGTTCTTTTGAGAAGTTTGAACATAACGTGCATTAAATTTGAGAAAAAGTGCTCTCTGTCCATTAATGTTGGTGTAGAACTGTAGGGTAGTGCCTTTAGCATGCTAACTAACCAGCTAGCAGAGCCCAGTGAACACATTATATTAACAGTCATGTATAAACTGAATGTTCACACTTAAGAAAGATGGTTCTTTAGTAAAGAAAATGATTCTATATAGCACCATGAACACTCAAAAAACCATTTCCACTCCTAAAAAGTGCTGTAGATGGTTCTATATAGCACCTTTTTGAAAAGGGTTCTGTATAGCACCAAAAAGGGTTCTTTTATTGTTGTGATGTCAAATCTGTAACAATAGAATAACTATTTTTGGTGCTAGATTGAGCCCTTTTCAAAAAGGTTCTGTTTAGAACCGTCTACAGCACAATCATCCTTAATCTGATGAGCGCTTTCACAATGCAAAGAACCCTTTAATCATGCAAATGGTTCTTTGGGTGTTCATGGTTCTATATAGAACCATTTTCTTTACTAATGAACCCTTGAAGGGTTTGAGTGTGTAAGCCTGTAACAATGGTGCTAAATAGAACCCTTTTCAAAAAGGTTCTGCATAGAACCATCTACAGCACATTCTCCATCGGTCTGAAGAACTCTTTCATAATGCAAAGAGCCCTTTAATCAAGGGTTCTTTGAGTGTTTGAGCTATATAGAACCATTTTCATCACTAAAGAACCTTTGAAGAACCTTCCTTTTTTAATGTGTCTGGTTCTGAAATATGAAGCATTTTAAAGTAGTTTACTGCTTTGGTTCATAAGCAGCTCTGTTCACCATTATTTTCGGGTTTGGGCAAGTTTTCCTTCTGATATTGACACCTGTGTTCACTCGACCCCTTCGAGGGCGTATCTAACAAACTTCACCTTCACTCACAAGCGATCCTTAAGATGCTATCAGGGATTCTCCCGAGGGGAAATGACGAGGCCAAGTGGACAAGGGGCCTGTTAAAACTAATACTGAAACGGGGCTCCTTCCTGTGCTGGCCAGATCCCTTAAAGACAAGACACTCAGGTTCTGTTTACACTGTGTCGTCTTTGAGCATCAGGATTATATCTCAATAGAGGCCTAACCTAATAACAGGCCCAACAATTGACTTTTATTAGTCGATTAGCTAAAACATGTTTGCTGTCTCAAGTGTACTTGTTTAGATTTGCACTTGAACAGCGAGCAAGCAGTGGAAGCATTACTTACTGTTTGATACACTGTTATGTACAAAAATCACCAGAATTACAGATAAAACCTCTGGCTGCTGCTACTGTTTTAATCAGGCATGTCAAACTGGGGACCTTCCGGGCCAAAGAGCTGTGGAGATTAGCGTTTACCTTCGTCTAACGCTCTGAATTCAGTTCCTGAAGGCCTTGCTAATCAGCCGATGAGCTGAATCAGGTGTGTTTAACGAGGCAATGTGCTGAAGTCTGCAGTGTTTTGGCCCACGAGGACTGGAGCCTGACACATGTGGTTTAAACTATGCAACATACTATTGTTAAATGTCAAAAACCAAATACAACCATTTGAAATTACTTAACAAATCGCTGTGGTTTGAGGTGTGTTATAATTTAGACATGCCGTTGGTACAATAAGCTTCCGTTACTCGCTAGCGAACTTCAGACACCAAACAAGCCTTGGCTGACGGAATACAAGAGTTAAGAATATTTTTTCGCCAAAGTCCTTTAAAGACCAGACATGCCGAGGCCAAAGTAATCTATGTGGTTTTAATATGGGCTCCTCAATTAAGAGCCTTTATACGCTTCAGTATTGATGTCATACGAACCTGTGAAGGTGCTGTAATAACACTGGCCTCATTATGCACAGCGGCGGAGCCATTCAGTAGAAAATAGATCACATTACAATAGAAAGTGGCTGAATGTGGGGTCAGAGCGCACAACCGTGACTAACTAATACCTTCACTTGCACTGCAATCTCCAATGTGATTGAGTTATAATGTCAATATTATGCGTGCACCTCTCTCTTTCTCTCTCTAAGCCTACCTCTCCCTCCCTCTCCCTACACGATGGCTGCAATCGAGGGGGCGAGCCTGACCATAATTACCAGTGTTGGCCAGGCATCATGAACTCACTCAGCCATATCTTCCATTTACACCCCCCCCACTTGCCTATGAGGCCTGAGGATAAAGAGCATCCAGGCCCAAGGTTTCCACAGCGCGTCCACAGCCAAATATCACCGGCCCCAAACGCTGAGGCAGCAAAGGGTCACTTTAAGTTAGCACCAGTGAGCCTGTCCAGTGCAGTAATTTGGGGCACAGTGCTTAGTTCCTCCTGATTACACAGCCATTTTCCACTGGAGTGAAGTGAGAATTCCTGGAGGATTCCAGCACGGCAGATGTGCACAGGGGCATTAGAACAGGGGGCAGTAAAGAGAGGGAGGGAGGGATGGCGAGGGAGAGAAGGAGAGATTTATCTTGATATTAGCCTTGTTGCTACAGTGCAAAACTAAACCAGCAAAATTAAGATACTCAACATATCTGGCTGAACCATTCAATTTAAAAAAATCAAATGTGTACAGTTTGCCCGCCTTTCCACAAATGTAGCTGAACACGGTGAAACTTTCATGCAACTAGTTGCATGCTGTGAGTTGCTTGCAACCTATTTTACATTAAGCAATTAAAAAACAATCAAATTGCACGCAACACATTAAATTACTCCACCACATAGCCGAATTAGCAGCTCGTATTTTTTGATACACCATAATGCTCTTATTATAAGATCTTATTCTTATTATAAGGTGTAAATTACACATCTGGAGCATTTTTATCATCTTTGCATGTTTTTTTCACATCGACTTATCTATCATTTGTCTATCTGTCTAGGATTATTTATTATATATTTGAGCAAATCAAAGAGCAATTCAGTTATATGTAGGATTCAAGCAACTAAAGTTTCATATAAGTTTCGCCAGGTAGGCTTATTTTTGCATTGGAGCTACAAGGTTATTATATAGTTAACACGCGATGGAAGTTTTAGCCTACTAATTAGTGTGAGTCTAACGTATTGAAAAAATACAAAACATAAAATCTAAAATGTGCCTTAACTTTCGCGCAGGCCATATTTTATGTCTTATTTTTTCCCGCCAATGTGTTAAATTTAGCAAACAAACAAGAATTCTGCATTAAAATGTGCACAAGCGCCACGTCATTTAACTAAGGGTGTCTAAACTTTTGCATACAACTGTAAATATGTGCTTTTATGACAAATACACACAAATACAGTGAATTCAAAACAGGCTGTATTTGCAGCTTTGTGTCCATATATGGACTGTATGGACTGAGGAGTGAAAAATAATTTAAATATTTGAATATAAACTTTAAAAGCAAGACAATGTTGCTTCTCCATGATATGGACCCTTTACATTTTTAATTATAGCTTTGCGGCTTATATAATAACACTGTGTAAGTCATCTCACAACACACAGGGCTTGTTTTCTGAAGTACAGAGCCAGTCAGTATTAAAATACATCCCTTTGCACAATGTGTTAAGCAACACAGCTTGAAGTCAGAAATGACTTCAATTCACCATTCCAGCTCATGTGGGGAAGATTGGCCACTTAATGCA